ATCCAGTTTTTATCTACACTATGAGTCCTACCTATGAGCAGAGTATGAGCTCACCCGGAGGGTATCAGTTGGTGAGGTTCCCTCGTAAGTCTAGTCCGAATTCGAAAACGTTCAGATCACGATTAATCGGAGTCTGTCTTTTTTCCGATTCGCCTAAGTGATTACATGCTTCTTTTTGGTATTTTCACCGAGTGATGTTGTTTCTTTACATCCTCGTTCAGATCGTTAGCGGTAACATCTAAGAGTTTTTCTCTACACTGGAATTCAAAGGTCGAATGGCTCATAGATGTGCAACTCCCGTGTTTTTCAGTCCGAGTGTGTGTTTTGTGAGACTAAGTCCGATATGAGTCCCAGCATACATTGTTTTCTATTTCTATTCTTTTTCTTCTATTTTTCTCCGAAAGACACTGTTTCTTTACATGGCTTTAATAACAAAAGACGAAAACAAAAAATTTGTATGTAACTCTGTACATAAATAACCTTCTCGCAATGGCACCTCTATTCTGAGAAATGCTTCCTTAACGACTGCATAATGTCTGTTGACATAAAAGGTATTTTTATATAATATTCGTCACAAATACCGATAGAGAGTAAACATCATGTAACGAAAATATTTCCTCCACTTGAGACAGTTTGTTTTGTTCATAGTCAATAATGGATATGAGTCATTAAGTTTTGTTAAAATATGAAATCAAATTTCGACAATATACGGTGAATAAAAACAAAAATTATAAAATTGCTTTGAATTGAAAACGAGTCATGAGGGCTCGTACCGCATGCTTTACTTTCGTTGTTCTGTTTCAGTACAATTATTTACTTGACTCAGCTCAAGAAAACTTAAGGGAACCACTAAACAAGCTGCAAGATTGAATTTTCAATTTTCACGAATTAATGAGAAAATGTGTGTGAAAGCAAGTTCCAGTTTCATACGTCTACAAATACAAACTTATAACTGCAGAGCAAGTACTAGTCTATGTCATATTGAAGTATTATCCAGCAAATTTCGCTTCTAGTGGTAATACATAACGTCAATTTTCTTAAAATGTATTGTTGGCCCTTTGTTTTATATATTCTTATCATCGGATTTATTTCCTGTATTACAGCTGTTAAATTTGATCCTAAAATCGATGATTATAATGCGTATGGTTTGAAATTAGCTGCTAATGAAGTGTTACTAGTTGAAGCACAAAATGATTATCAAGTATTTCTCGTTCAATTTGCTCCATACAATACCAGTGAAACATCTCGTTCGTTATGCTATATTGCTTTTAATGACTCATCTAACTATATTTACAACGTCGGTATAGGTAAAAAGCAAACTGCTAATCAACAATACTTTTTTTTCGTTGGTGAAACAATTGGACTCAATCAAGATGATGAATTAAACCGAACATTTATTGGAATGTTAAACTATACAGGGAATCCTGATCTAACTGCTTCGTTTTCATGTGATCATTTTGATTATGATATCAAATTTGTAGTGACTGCTTTTCATGAAGAATACTACGTGGTGGGAGTAGAACCACAGGGGACAACTGCTTATGGATTTACCAATCAGATGATTCTTATCTATGATATTCACCGTAATCTGATCACTCTGGAAGGAAAATTAGTATGGCCTAATGATACGTTTGTACCTCATGCCGTTGACTTTCATCAAAATTTTGCCGTAATAGCAGGATTAATAGAGACTGATCGAAATTTACGAGCTAAGTTTAGACCAATGATAATTTTACTTCATTATAATTCGACAGGAGTTTCCGTTATAAGTAATTGGTCGTACACAATAGACAGTATTTTGCAGGAAGGACAGACGTTTAACGGGGCGAAATATTACTCACCAAAATACGATATGTCGGTAGCTATTAATGATGATGGACAAGTACTAGTAGGAATACAATCACTGGATACGGTGCTGCTATTTTCGGTTAACGTTTCTAATCCGACAATGCTGACTCTTATCACTCTTGCAGATAATGGGAGATATATCGGTTATGGGAAAGCCGTGGCTTGGATGGAAAACGGCAATTCATCAGCTATTTTAGCCAATACCTATTCTATGAGTTATCAACTGGTTTCACCTTCCAAGATCTATTTGTATAATAATGGTTTTATAAATTCATTTGATCCCACTTTTATTCTTCCAAATAGTCAACAGACACTGTCAGATATGGCATCGACATTAATCACTATTGTTTCCACACCATCTGCTCTCGCCATCCTCGATATTAATGGTAATGTGTTTGTCATTCTTCCAAGTCGACCTGGTTATTACTCATCGACGGCCGGTGGATATGAAGACACAGAAATAGAATTTTCTTCAGAAATGCCGTGTATAGCTGGAACATACAAAGATGTAACCAGTATTCATCCTTGCTCGTTATGTCCAAAAGGATTCAAGAATCCTGGTAATTCTGGAAACATTTGTACACCATGTAATTTAGGAACATTTTGTTCATTGGGAGCATCTAATGATGTCGATTTAACGGTTCTGCAAAATGTTGTTCAAATTCGACCATTTCCAAAATCACCAGAGAACACGATATTCGATGATATTCTACTGCGATACATATTCGGCATTGGTCAATCAGGCCATTGTACAGCGGTATCACCCATCTTTTGGGCACTGATCATTGGTGTACTTGCAGTAATTGTCATGGTCGGGATGGTTGCATTGAAGTACTGTATAAAACACCCTAAAGCTAAGTATACACGACAAATGTTAAGAACAATCTTTAAACAGATGGATCTCATTGGCAAAGGTGAACTATGGATTGGAGGACTTGTAAGCTTCTCCCTCATGGCACTTCTTTGCTTTGCATATGCGTTTAGTAGTGCCTATTATAATCAATATCCTATCGAGAAAGTAGGTCCTTCCTATTTTGCCTGTGATACTGCTATTAGAAATGCAAAATTTGCATCAAATATACGATCGTTAGCTATTTCATCCTTAGACGAAGAACATGAAATGTTTAATATGTTGGACGAGCAAGAGTTTACATTAAATGTTGATTTTGTGAATACAGTCTTCTCATGTGATAAAGTAACAGTACAATATTTATTAAGTACTTTTTGGAAACCACTCGCCCTGAGTTATTGTTCACATTCAAACTTTACTTTGTCTGTTTCCGTCGTACTACCCGATAAAATGATTACTCTTCAATTTACATTATCCGATGTTCAAAACATTGGTGGATTACGAATAGGTTTGTCGGGCCCTGCCTCCAAACAGGAACAGTATACGTTGGACGAATTAAATTTTTATCAATCGTTTAAGAAAGATGGTCGAATGTTGTCTCAAAATTCCAAAGTAAACATGCAATTGACAAGAATCATCAATGAAACAGCGGCGTTAATAGGAGATGAGTCAGAATTTAACTCCATATGGGTTGCATCATTCGCTCCTAATAATTTATTTTCCACTCAAAAAGACTATATTTACTTCACATCAGATGAAACCACACTGACGGTCACAATTAGTGAGACACCCTACTATGTTAAAAATGAACAACAGCCCATTGCTAAACAGACAGAGGTGATATTTCATAATCTTCTGTTTACCATTGTCTGTTTGGAAATGTTTGGTCTCATTTTTCTAATATTTAAACTTTTCATGATACCATTGTTTAGATGGATTGCTAAGAACACGTGTGTATCGTCAATATTTATGAAAACCGAGAGTGGCAAAGAGGCTAAACAGAATAAAAAATATAAAACTGAAATGTCTACCCGTCAATTTCCCATATCTCATCCAGAAACTTATTATTTTTAATTGTTACTTGTTCAATGAAAATTTAGATTCTTGTTTTTTTTGTGAAGACTATCACTATGTTTATTCGTTTTTCATTAACAAAATGATGTGTATGTGTATGTGCTAAAAATATGGAAACTGTTGTACATCATTCAGCGTTTTCATATTGTATTTTTATGTATTAATAATATATTTTTTAATGGCTTTAAGCTTCGTTATTAGAATGGCTTCATCTACGTCGTTGTAAAAGAAACAATTCATAGTC